TCAGGGCTGGGAGGGGCCTTAGAACAGGGGATGTCAGAGCTGGGTGGAGCCTTAGAATTAAGGGATGTCAGGGCTGGGAGGGGCTTCGAACAGGAAAGATCAGGGCCTAAGAGGACACCAAATCCCATCCTCTCAAATTGGAAGACAGGACTTTCCCACCCATGGGAGACCTACAGGCCCTTAGGGTAAGGCGAGGCCTGGGGTGCACCTACTGCTGCAGGTGATTTCATTCTTAGAGCAGCTGTAGGAATAAAGCTCGGTGTAGGCATTGTCCACCAGGAACTTGCAGCTGTCAAGTTCCTTGGCCATTGAGTAGCACTGGTCATGCACCTGGCAGCACCTGAGGGAAAGGATAGCAATCAGTGCCAGGCCAGGCGCCGCAGGTGTGAGCTGGAGGTGCCCAGGTGCCACAACACAGGTGGCAACTTTTCCCAGGCCCTTGCTCCAGCCTCAAAGGTCCCAGAAGCCTGGAAGGGCCATTTCTCCAGTTTTAGCTTCCTCCCACCCCACCCAGATTCTTTCTCTATTTCCTCTTTAGCTAAAAGCTGACCCTTTGCCTTCCTCTCTTGCCCATCCAGGGCTCTGGCTCTCCAGTAGGCCAACCAGGTAGCCATCATCCTCATAGAATTTTGGACAGAGAAAAACAGATTGGGAAGATGGCAATTCTTAGGGGCTAGAGTGGGGAGGACCACAGATGGGGAACTAGCCGGTAAGGGTCAACTCTCCCTTCTGCTCAAAAGGAAACTCCTTGAGGGCTCATTGACTGAATGATTGGTTGACTGGCCTACTCTTCCCGTCTCGGCCAACCTGGTAATGAACCTCAGAATTTAGCTGGATTGCTCCTACTATTATCTTGATTTTATATATGAGGGAACTGAGGCTGAGGGAGGCTTAAGTGACTTGCCCAGGGTCACACAACTGGTAAGTGTCTGAGATGGGATTTGAACATAGGTCTGTTTGACTGCAAGCCCTCCACTCTGCCTGAGCAGGCATTTAAAAAAAAAGTACAAAATCTTAGAGCTGGAAGGGGCCCACGGTCAGATAAGTTCAGCCTGTGACACTAACTGTTTGTGGAAGTAAACTGGCTCCAAAGGCTGAGACCTGTAGCCCATCCACCCTCCTTTTCTTCCCATGGTTACTCACTGGTCAAGTTCATCCACAGGGGTGCCGCTCCCGCCGAGGCCACAATAGCAACCATAATTGTTGTAATCCTTCAGGGGCGCACTACCGGGAATGACGCACTTGATCATATTTCGAAACTGCCACACTGCTCGGGGGCTGACATCAGCGGTGATGCCCACTGAAGAGGGGGAAACACAGGCATAAGTCATCCTGGGGGTGGTTAGCTTGCTAGAGATTGAGACCAAGGCCATGGACTCAGTCCTGAGGATCATGAGATTCACAGCTGACACACCATCCCAGCAGCTAGGGATAAAGGGGCTTGACACTCACTATCCATGAACTTGTTTGTGGAAAAACAAAATAAAACAAAACAAAACAAAATCAATGGTAATAACTGTTTCAACAGAATTGGTTTCGTTTGAAATCCTGTGTATTTTATTTTGTGTATTTGAAAACACGATTCTGACAAAGGGTCGTTGGCCTTCACTAAATTGGGACTGGCCCATGGTCACACAGCTAGAGGAGCTGTTTGGGGTACTGAAAATCTTACTGGATCTGGAGTTAGGAGCATCCCGATTCTGACTGCCAGGACTGACTACCAGTATGACTCACGTGGCCGTAACCTTCTGGACTAAAAAAACAAGCAAACAAACATTTAAAAAAAAAAAAAACAACCCTTCAGTGGTAACCTGTTGCCTGTAGGATAAAAGAAAAGTCAGCTGGACATTTAAAGAACCAATTGCCTCTGTTGTTCATTAGCATCTGACTCTTCATGACCCATTTGGGGTTTTCTTGGCAGAGAGATTGAAGTGGTTTGCTGTTTCTTTCCCCAGCTTACCTTACAGGTGAGGAAACTGAGGCAAACAGGGTGAAATGACTTATCCAGGATCACACAGCTAGTAAGTGTCTGAGGCCAGATTTGAAATCAGGAAAATTAGTCTTCCTGACTCCAGGCCTGGTGCTCTGTCCACTGTGCCACCTAGCTGCCTTACTACAATATAGCGCCTATCTACTTTTCTAATATTATTTTTAAAATTCAATTTTATTTGCAATTCCATATTCTCTCCTTCCTACTATAAAGTGAGAAAAAAAACAAAATCCTTTATAAATATGTATAGTTGAGCAAAACAAATTCTCACATCAGCCATGTCTGTAAAATATATATGTATGTATGTAAGTGTGTATATGTATATACATACATACACACACATATATACGTGTGTATATTTGTGCGTGTGTGTGTATACACACACACACACACACAAACACACACCACCTCTCTATCTAGAAATGGGTAGCCTGTGTCATTCTGAGTCCTTTGGGACTGTGGTTGAGTTTTTTGGACATATGAGTCTTTTTCTTCTTTCTTTGATATCTATAGGGTATATACCTAGCAGCTAGGTCAAAAAGGATGCACAGTTAATAGGTTTTTAGGCAGAGTTCCAATTGCCTTCCAGAATGACTAGACTGGTTCACAGTTCCACCAACAGTTTGTTAATGTACCTGTTTTCCCACAGCCCCTCCAGCATTTGTAATTTTCCTTTTGTGTTAACTTTGCCAATCAGAGGCCTATGAGGTAGAACCTCAAGAGTTATTTTAATTTGTATTTTTCTAATTTTTAGTGAGTTAGAACTTTTTTTTGTTTTGTTTTAGGCAATTGGGGTTAAGTGACTTGCCCAGGGTCACACAGCTAGTATGTGTCAAGTGTTTGATCTGAGACCGGATTTGAACTCAGGTCCTCCTGACTTCAAGACTCGTGCTCTATCCACGGCTTCACCTAGCTGCCCCACAACATTTTTTTAATATGGCAGTTGATAGCCCAGATTTTTTCCTCTTCAAGTTTCAATTAGTTTAACAGTCAGCTCTCTAGGGTTCCCTAAATTAACCATCATATTCTCTGTAAAAAGCAGCAATTTTGTTTCTTCATTCCTTCGATTTCTTTTTCTTATTGTAATAGCTAGTATTTCTAGAAATACCACAGAAAATACTGGCTCTTGGTTTTCCATAGATATGATTTATCATTTTGTTTATTCCTGTACTTTTTGGTGTTTTTAACAAGAATGGGTGTTGTATCTTGTCAGAAGCCTTTCCTTTCCTGCATTTACCGACACAATCATATGATTTTTGTTGCCTTTGTTATCAGTATGGTCAATTACCTTTACAGTTTCCTAATATTGAATCAGCCCTTCATTCCTGGTATAAATCCAGCCTGGTCATAGTGTACAATGTTTGTGATATAGTGCTATGGTTTCCTTATTAATTTTTTATTTAAAATGTCTACATCAATATTCATTAGGAATATTAATCTAGGTGCCAAGTGTGAGGACCAGAGAGAAGGCCAGTTTGGCTGCATCAGAGAGTATGGGAGGGAAAGTGATGTCCCGTGAGGATAAAAAGATAGGTTAGGATCACATTGTGAAGGGCTTTAAGATCCAAACAGACAAATTTGCTTTATCCTAGAGGAAATACATCAGGAGCTGCAGGATTTGATGGAGAAGGGGAATCATATGGTTAGATATACATTTAAGGAAAATTACTTTGGCAGAAATTTGTAGCGTACAAAAATTAAAAAAAAAATGAATGTTGGGGACAGCTAGGTGGTGCAGTGGATAGAATGCCAACCTAGAGTCAATAAGACCTGAGTTCAAATCCAACCTCAGACACTTACTAGCTGTATGACCCTGTGAAAGTCACTTAACTTCTGTTTGCCTTAATTCACTGGAGAAGGAAATGGCAAACCACTCTGGGTGTCTTTGCTAAGAAACCCCAATGGACGGTACTGGTGTACTATGGTCCTGGGGCCATGAAGAGTCTGATTCAACTGAAGGTCTGAACAGCAATATACACCAGACATTGTGTGCTGTGTGCTGGGGGTACAAAGCAAAGAAGGAAGCAGTCCCTGCGCTCCAGGAGCTTACATTCTTTAAGAGACCCATGGTTTCCTCTATTCTAGAAAGAGGTGTCGGAGGATAACATTATTGGAAGCCCTGACACAATATGATCCAGGTCATGCCTCTCCTTTCTGGTCCTGACCCGAGAGTTTATTGTCCCTCCATTAATGCCCATGGGACCTGCTCCATCCTCACTCTCCTCCACCTCTGAGTCTCTGCTGCCTTTGACCTTGTCCATCACTCTCTTCCCCTCAATACTTTCTTCTTTCTGGGTTTTTTCAGGACACTTCTTTCTGTCTCTGTCTCTCTCTCTGTCTCTCACATACACATATTCTCTGTCTCTCTCTCTCTCTTCTCTCTCCCCTTCTCTCCTTCTCTCCTTCTCTCTCTCTCTTGCTCTCTCTCCCTCTCTGTCTCTCTCTCACTCTCTCTGTCTCAGTCTCTGTCTCTCTGTCTCTGTCTTTCTGTCTCTGTCCCTCTCTGTCTCTGTCTTTCTGTCTCTGTCCCTCTCTGTCTCTGTCTCTCTGTCTCTGTCCCTCTCTGTCTTTCTCTGTCTCTGTCTCTCTCTCTGTCTCTCTCTCTCTCTGTCTCTCTCTCTCTCTCTCTCTCTCTCTCTCTCTCTCTCTGTCTCTCTCTCTCTGGTTCTCCTCCTACCTCTCTGGCCACTCCTTCTCAATCTCCTTTGCTGGCTCGTCTTCCAGATCACAACCACTGACCACAGACATCTCCCCAGGATCTCTCCCTGGCCTTCTACTCTTCTCCCTCTATACCACTTCACTTGGTGATCTCACCAGCTCCCATGTATTTAATGACCATCTCTATGCTGATGACTTTGCCTGTCGTGCCACGAAGTCTCTGCTGACTTTCAATCTCAACTCTCCAAATACCTTTAACGAATCTTGAACTGGATGTCCAGTAGACATCTTAAACTAAACGTGTCCCCAAACCCCCCATCTCATTATCAGCTAGGTACACAGTAGATAGAGTGCTGGGCCTAGAATCAGGAAGACCTGAGTTAAAATGTGGCCTTAGATACTTACTGGCTGAGTGTTCCTGGGCAAGTCACATAACTTACTTGCCTCAGTTTCTTCCTCTGTAAAATGGGGATAATAATAGCACCTACACCGTGGATTGTTTTGAGTATTATCTCAATTGAGATAATAATTGTAAAACACTTAACACAGTACCTGGCATATAGTAAGTAAATATGATTTCCCCCGAAGTCTCCCTTCTCCATACTTCCTTATTACTGTTAAGGACACCACCATCCTCCCCATGCCCAAGGCTCACAACCTAGCAGTCATCTTGGATTCCTCACTATCTCTCAACCCCTCCCCCCATATCCAAGCTGTTGCCGAGGCTTTTGCAATATCTCTCAAGTATACCCCCTTTTCTTCTCTGACATCACCTCCCACCTGAGCTTCTGGTGAATCTGAAGTCTCTCCCCACTCCAATCCTGCCTCCATTCAGCTACCAAAGTGATTTTCCTAAAGTTCTGGTCTAATCATATCACATCCCTACTTAACAAAGTCCCTATCACCTCCAGGATCAAATACAAAATGCTCTGTTTGGCATTCAAGGCCCTTCGAATCCAGCCCCCTCCTCCCTTTCCGGGTCTTCTGATACCTCACTTCACAGCACAAACTCTTCCACCGGTGACATTGGCCTCCCGGCTGTTCCCTGAAAAGACCCTCCATGACTTGGCTCCGGGCGTTTTCACTGTCTGTTCCTCATGCCTGCAGCCCTCCTCTTCCTCATCTCCACCTGGCTTCCTTCGAGTTGAGTCCCGACTGCAATCCCCTTTCCTGGAAGCCTTTCCCAGCCCCTCTTAAATAAAGTGCCTTCCTGGTTAATTATTTCCCATTGATCCTGTCCATACGGCGTGTTTATAGCTGTTGGTTTGCTTACTGTTTGACCATGTGTTTGTTTCCTATGTCTCCCCAGCCCTTAGCGCAGCACCCATTTATTGACTGATTGACCTGTTCGACAATTCCTTGTATAAACAGAGTTGCCTGGGGTACCACGAGTATAAATGACTTATCCAGGGTCACACAGGCAGGATGACTTACACCTAGGTTGTCTTGACTCTTAGACCAGCTCGCTAGCCACTACACTAGCCCCCTCGCAACTATTTAATTACATAGAAGCAAACCAATAGCTCCTACTGCACTCCAAAGTTTGCAAAGATGTTATCACTTTCCTCTCAATCGCCCCGTGAGGCAGGTCTTGCAACGTTTTACATTACATAGGAGGACAATGATATTGTACACAGTAACAGTAACATTGTAAGATGATCAGCTGTGAATGACTCAGTTTTTCTCTGCAATGCAAGGGTCCAAGACAATTCCAAAGGACTCATGACAAAAATGTATCCACCTCCAGAGAAAGAACTGATAGAGTCTGAATGCAGATCAAAGCAGACTTTTTTTTTACTTTCTTTGTTTTAGGTGTTTGTGGGGGCTTTTTGGGTCTGTGTTCTTCTACAACATGACAATTTGGAAATATGTTTTGCATGACTACACTTGTATAAACTATATCAAATTGCTTGCCATTTCAATGAGAGGGATGGGGAGAGTGAGAATTTAGAACGCAAATTTTTCTTAATTAATTAATTAATTTTTAGCTTTCAGCATTCACTTTTATAAGGTTTTGAGTTCTAAATTTTCCCCCTCTTCTCTTCCCAAGAGAGCACGCAATGATATATCCAATACACGTGCAATCATATTAAACATATTTCCACATTAGTCATATTGTGAAAGAAGAATCAGAACAAAAGGAAAAAACCACTAAAAAGAAAAAAAAAGAGAGAGAGAGAGAGAATAGCGTGTTTCGATCTGCATTCAGATTCCATAATTTTTTCTGGATGTGGAGAGCATTCCATCATGAATCTTTTGGAGTTGTCTTAGATCCTTGCATTGCTGAGAAGAGCTAAGTCTATCAATGTTGGTCATCGCACAATGTTGCTGTTACTACGTACAATGTGGAATTCAAAATTTTTAAAAACGAATGTTGAAAATTGTTTTTACATGTAATTGGGGGAAAGTAAATACTTTTTTTAAAAAAGATAAAAAGAACAAAAAAAGAGAAAAAGGACAGAAGAGGACATTGAAGGTCTAAGAGGTTATGGGACTTCCCTGAGGTGACGTAGTTCATAAGCGTCTGAGGTAGAGTTTGAACTCAGGGCAAAGGATGATGATGATGATGATGATGATGATGATGATGATAACTAGTAATTATATAGTGCTTCAGCTTTGTAAAGCACTTTACAACTATTATAGGATCCTTACAACAACTCCATGAAGTAGGTGCTATTACTGTCATCCCCATTCTACAGATGAGAAAACTGAGGCAGGCTGAGGGATTTAGTGATTTGCCCAAGGTCACACAGTTAGGAAACATCTGAGGCAGGATTCAAACTCAGCTCTTCTTATCTAGCGTCCAGCACTGCAGCCACTAGGGCCTCCAAGCCATCGGTCTCCAATTTAGAACTCAGTCTAGTCCCTAGCCTCAGCCTAGAGCTGCCTCAGATTTAGAACTGGAAGGTTACCCCAGAGACCATTGGGTCCATGATTTTACAGGGAAGGAATCAGAAGTCCACAGAGAAGGGCCCTGTGTGATAGTCATCTGGGATCAGAGACCTGGGTACACATACCAGAGCTGCCACTTACTACCTGCATGGCTTCTCTAGCCCTTAGTTTCCTCATCTGTCAAATGTGTCTCTTCCAGCCCGTGAAGGTGAAGAAACTGGAGCTAATTTGCCACAAACCAGTGCCAAAAGGCTCTCTCTCTCCAAGTCCCTTGCCCTTTCCCCTGAGAGCCAGCCACTCTGTCTGTCTCTCCCCTTGGCCACCCTGGCTTCAGACCCGGCCCCCGGCACCCAGGGAAGCTAATGCAACACCTTACCTGCCAAGAAGATGGCCAGGAGAAGGAGATGCATTCTGTTCTCAGGGGAGGTGAACAAAAGTGGAGACCAGGCTACCATGGGGCTTGCCTTCTTATAGCCGTCCCACGGGGCGATAAGGGACTAGTGTTTGTTCTTCTCTCTGCCAGCTCCTTTTGCTGGCCTTGACTGACCCTTCTGGGGAGTACTTAAAGCCGGGTCCAAGCTAGGCTTGGTAAAAAACAAAAAAAAATTGCACGTACACTCAACATCAGTGGATTCTGATACATGCCTACTGCACGTGTGTATATATGTACACATGTACCCATGAATACGCCAACAGGGGTAGGCACGGAACTAGACCTGGGATTGCAATGCAGAGGGTACTCCCTTTGCCCCTCAAGTCAGAGGGCATCTCCGTTCCAGGGAAGAGCCTTGGGCACCAGAGTTTATGTGACTTGTCCAGGGTCCCATAGGATTTACTCAGGTTTTCCTGACTCCAGGGACACACATGACTGGCTAGGCCCCACTGCCTCTAGCCCAGAATTAAATAAAAAAAAATAATAAAATGAGATCTGCAGTTTCATATACGATCTTCCTTTTCTGTTCTATTATGTATATGGAGGTCCCTGTTTTATTTGGTGTTCTTGAAATTCAGAATAAAAGGTTTTAAATGAAAAGCAAAGTAAAATGCCACTAATTCTGGAGAGGGAAATTACATACGTGAAATACACACATGAAATACTCACCATCTCCCTTCCCCCATCCTTTTCTGACTCTTGGCCCTTTTTCCATATGGGGAGTGTTTCAGGTGGGCCAGAAGCTCTGGAGTCTGGACCTTGACCCCTTAAATCCCCATAAGAGCAAGACCAGCCTTGAAGTTGATCGAGCACCCACACATCCCATCCAGGGGGGAAAAAACCTCAGGGAAGCTTGGGGGAAGGCATTGCTGGAGGCCACTTTCACCACACCCCTCTCCACCTGGAACAAAGAGAAGGGGCTGGGGTGAGATCCTGGCTCTGCTCAAGCCCCTGATCTCAGCTTTGGTCAGAGAGGAAGGTTCTCCCAGTTTACCTGAATGTCACCTCGGGACTTGAGAGCTGGAAGCTATGAGCTGAACCGAAGGGTGAGGCCGGAGAGGAAGAAAGAACCGACGACCGTCAGCGTAGCTATATAATTTCCTCACTTTGAGACTCAGTTTCCCAATATGGTTTGGTTGGCCTCCCAGTTCTTCTAACTCTAGGTCTCATGATCTTACAGGTTCCAGAAGGAGGAAATGCTCAAGGGGCCAGGAAGCCTTTGAAAACAACGAGGGCTTGTCTGGGCACCCTTTACCTTTAGGGAGCAGTCAGGCAAAATTCCTATGATGCCTACACAGTCAGCCACATTTGTGGGGGGATTAGGCACTGCTGTTCTCCCTTGCATTGGAAAAATACACAGGCCTTAAATCCTCCATTGACCCGTCCCAGGGACCCCTAGTTCATAAGATGCAGGACTAGGGTGGATCTCAGAGGTCATCTATCCAGTCCTTTGTTTTACAGATAAGGAAACTGAGGTCCAGAAGAGTGACAAGGCTTGACAAGTGTCATAGAGGTAGTAGGGGACAGGTGAAGGGTTGGTATCTATGTTTTCTAACTCTGAATCTAGCTACCCAGTAACTTGGAATCAGCTCTAGATACCTTAATGTTCATAAAGCCCTTTACAAATATTACCTCATTCAACCCTCCTAACAATTCTGGGAGGTAGGTGTTGTTATTATCATCATTTTTACAGATGAGGAAATTGAGACAGAGGTTAAGTGACTTGCCCAGGGTCACACAGCTAACAGGTGTTTAAAGCTGGATTTGAACTCAGGTCTTCCTGTGTCAGCGTCATGAGTCTTATGTGAAAGCCAGGTTTATTACAAGAGAAACGTGGATGTGGAACCCAAAGAGCTCATTTCTGACTCAATCAATTAACATCTATTAAGTGCCTACTATGTGCCGGGCACTGTGCTAAGCTCTCTGAAGATACAAAAAGACAATCCCTGCCCTCAAGGAGCTTACAGTCTCATGGGGGAGACAACATGCAAACAAATATATACAAAGCACATTATATATGAGACAAAATAGGAAATCCTTAATAAAGGGAAGGCAGTGGAATGAAGAGAGGCTGGGGAAAGCTTCCTATAGAAGGTGGGATTTTAGTTGGGACTTAGAGAAAGCCAGGGAGGTCAGTAGTCCAAGCTGAGGAGAAAGAGCATTCCAGGCCTGCGGGACTGGCCCTGCCTCCAGGCCCATTGCTTTACCACCTTCCTGGGGGGGGAGGGGGGGAACATACTAATAAACTTTTTCGTTTCTCTAGAAATATTAAGAAATATTTACTAGCGAATGTACCTCCTTAATGTTCTCTAACAATATTAAGAAAGACTTGCCTTTGGAAAGATGAAAAGTAGGACAAAAGGCCTTTCTTGGGAAGTTGGATTAAGAGTAAGGTTTAAAATTAAGATTTGGGGGCAGCTAGGTGGTGCAGTGAACAGAGCACCGGCCCTGGAGTCAGGAGGACCTAAGTTCAAATCTGGTCTCAGGTCATACATTTAACACTAGCTGTGTGACCCTGGGCAAGTCCCTTAACCTCAATTGCCTCACCCCCAAAAAATTAAGATTTGGAACCCAATTATCTAACAAAGAATGACTGATATCTTCTTTACCTTTTGTTTGCTAAGAATTTGGCACTTAGTAGGAACTTAAGCTTGACCCAGTTCCTTCCCTCTGGGCCTTGCTATAAACCCACCTAATGGCCTTCTCCTCTCCCCTTATCCCTTAAGAGATAGGTCCAAAGAGACTTACCCTTCTCCACTGGAAAAGGATTAAGATATCTGGGCCTAGATCCTTTTGTGTATTCCTGGAGAATATTTGAATGGGATGGG